ATAGAACAAGAAATTACAGTTTGGATAAAGGCATTATATTTTTTCTTATGAGTTTCTTTTCATACGTCTTTAAACTGGATACTTTTCTTGAGTAATTTGTTCGTGATTGAATTAAGAATTTGCTAATTATTGTATGATATGTTAATAATTTCATCATGTTGAATGATTTGATCAGATCATGCCATAATTTTCTATATTCAGTTCCATAATGATAATGATAGCAATCAAAATAATCAAAGACGAGTGTACAGCTGTAGGTGAAGGAATAAGAAATGCCAAAAGAGGATGGATGAAAAAAAAAAGAAAGAAAGAAAAAAAAAGATAGAGTGAAGGAAAAGAGAAAAAAAAAACTTCTTCGTGTGAGCTTTAAAGCTGAATGTCTTAGATTTTTTTTTCTTTAATTCTTTCTTTCTTTCTTCCTTTGTGTTTGTTCTTCACTTGAATTGTTTCCTCATGTGAGTAAGAAAAATGAGGAAAAAAAAAATGATAGTCAACATTTCGTCCATGTTGAGTGGGAGTAAAATGCATTATATTTTGAATTTAAATGAAATTGGGAAGATTTGAACTTCTTTTACTTGAAGCTGTGTTTTTTTATGTGACTGGGAGGGAGGAGGATTTATAGTACAAAAGAACAGACTAATAGAGATTTAGTTTAATAAGCAAAGAATTACTTTCTGAGCCCAAAGATTAAAATGTAGTGCCTTTGTTTTAGATGCCAATTCTTGAGATTTGTCTTTCTCTTTCCCTGTCTCTCTTGCTCTCTCACTTTCTCTATCTGTCTGTAGGCCTGTCTGTCATTCTTAATCTCTATATCTCTCTCTTATTCTTTCTCTCTTTTACTCTCTTACTCTCTCTCTCTCTGTCTATGTCTCTCTCTCTCTCTCTCTCTGTCTATGTCTCTCTCTCTCTCTCTTTTACTCTCTCTCTCTCTCTCTCTCTCTGTCTGCCTCTGTCTCTGTCTCTCTCTGTCTGTCTGTCTCTCTCTCTCTCTCTCTCTCTCTCTCTCTCTCTCTCTCTCTCTCTCTCTCTCTCTCTCTCTCTCTGTTTCTGTCTCTGTCTCTCACTCTCTATCTATCTATCTAATTAGTTTCGTTTTTATCATGATGCCCCTGTAAGAAAAGACACTGGTAGCAGGGAAAGCATCTCGAATTATGTCTTCGGATTTTATATTCTTGATTCTTATTCCTCTTCCTCTTCTTCTAGTTACCTTCCTTCTGTCCCTTATCCTCTTATTTCCCTCTCTTCTTCTTCCTCCCAAACAAGGTTGAGCCTAAAATTATATGTCTGCATATCCTATGACAGGCAGACAGACAGACAAATTGAAAGATAGAAAGAGGGAGAGAGAGAGGGAGAGCGAGAAAGAGAGAGAGAGAGAGAGAGAGAGAGAGAGAGAGAGAGAGAGAGAGAGAGAGAGACTGATAGATAGATAGATATATAATATATATATAGAGAGAGAGACCCATACGAGAGAGAGACAGACAGAGACAGAGACAGACACACACTCGCACACACACACATGTGCGCTCACACACACACAAACAGCCAGGCGGGCAGAGAAAGACAATGAGAGAGATGGATAGAGAAAGAGAGAGAAGGCGAGAAAAAGGAGGAACTGTTTTCTTCAGGTTTGTTTTTGAGTCGTGTGATTGACTGATTTCCTTTGATGAAGAAGGATAAAGCTTCACGCCTCCATTGAAGGAGAATTCCTAATTGGCAACTCATGCTTTGAAGCCTTTCTTCTCGTCTTCTCTTCAAAGCACTTCTAATTTTTCCCAAGAGACGTGACTTAACACCTACGCCCACACGCACACTAACTTATATTTAGCCTTTAAAAGATAACGTATATTTAGATATATGAGTTGCAGTTACATGCATCCACAAGTACATATTTAATAGACCCACACACATGTGGATTTGGGTGTATATTACAAAGAAAAAACAAACAAACAGAAAAAACGGAATAAGAAAGAAAGATAGAAAAAGAGGACGAAAAGATATAGAGGATTTTGTGTGTTTAAATGTGTTATTCTGTATGTATCTCCATATGCTGTTATGTGAGTTATATTTATGTATTTAATTGTTTCTGTTTTATAAATACTTGCTTTTTGTTATGATTTACAGGCTTAAAAAGTAAGCGCCTTCACTCACGCCCCGACCTACACTGTGCTTAAACGAACACTGATATATACATAACCAACATACAGCTACTATATAACTCTCGAGCTAATGCAAAGGTTTTGTCCTATTGCTTCATATGCTGCACCCGAGTACTTCAGGTTAGAGAGCTCAGGGCAGTGCAACAGACCAAATTGTGAAATTTCTTTAATACTCTAATACTGTCGACCTTTATACTGCTTAGAGATGCGAATAACATCATAAATACACACATACATTCATGCACACACACTCACACACACACACACACACACACACACACACACATGTGTGTGTGTATGTGGGGGGGGGGGGGTTATAAACATATATAATATATATATATATA